TATATATATTACTTTACTCTCGAACGCCAGATATATTTAACTGGTAGCTACTGTGTAAGCTACAAAATAGAACTAAGTGATTTTGAGAGGAACGCCAAAAAGATTTTAGGTTATGAAGAAAGTACTTTTTTCTTCGAAAGAGGTTTTGTGTTCGGATATTTTTCCACACAGATCCCAAGCTCTACACAAAATGAATAGTTAGAAATAAATTTGTAGAGTTCTGGAAATATTAATGTGCAGTAGTGACAAAATAGAGCGTTATATCATGACTCTAAATTCACACCCCCCCCCGCCGCACCCTCATGTCCCGCCCGTAAGCCACCTGTTGCTATGACAACATCGGAATGAAAAAGCGCCTCCATAAAAAATGGCGGTCAAAAAATTTTCATGCATTCTCTCTGAATTTCAAGCCAGCACGACGCGAGAAATTTCTTGTTTAAAAGCGGAAGAAAAGTATCTGCAGTATATTCTCAACGAGAGTTGGCGATTTTTGTCCCCTAAATACCTCGTATTTAATAATTCTTGCCAAGTCCATTCTTCTCAAGAACAAAATGCAGACATTCCAACCTCCGAGTCCTCAAAACCGGGACACTTCCCAATTTTCCCATTTTACTTAAACAAATGCCTCCCTCGAATAAACGCCTCCATCGAATAAATGCCACACCTTTCTCATTGATGTGGTGTCTATTTGGGTTAGTGTTAAAATTGGCTGAGTTGAGTTTGAATTAAAGGGGGGTGTGAATAGGGGTATACCAGGGCGCTATAAAACAATATGTTTTACAGCGCCCTGGCTTTACAAATCCGCCGATCCGCCCAAATTTGAAGTAAAATCCGCCGTCCGACAATGGTCTTGTTTAAATTTGGATCCGCTAAAAGCTCTACTATGAAGTCACAATCCAGGATCCGAACTAAATTGCAAGCTAAATCCACAATCCGAGCCAAAAATTAGATAAATCCGCAATCCGCTGTCAGTATTAATAATAGCCGCAAATCTGTGTAAAATATTAGCCAAATCCAAAATCCGAACAATTTTTTCGGCGGAATCCAACCTATTCACCCCCATTAAACAATAAATTCACAGTGGATGCTACAAAAACTAGTTTTATTACACTAACGTTGAAACCCATAAGTAATATAACATCTTCTCAACAAGCTTTAATTTCATTGAATGATTGAAGTCCTGTACTGACGAAATTGTTTCGTTTTACCCTCAATGGTTTTACCAGTGGTCTTTTGAACTGTGATCATAAGCCGGAAGTTTCATTGAATTGAAGTTGAATTTTCATTGAATTGAAGTTGAATTTTCATTGAATTAAAGTTGAATTTTCATTGAATTGAAGTTGAATTTTCATTGAATTGAAGTTGAATTTTCATTGAATTAAAGTAAAGTTGAATTTTCATTGAATTGAAGTTGAATTTCATTGAATTGAAGTTGAATTTTCATTGAATTGAAGTTGAATTTTCATTGAATCAAAGTTGAATTTTCATTGAATTGAAGTTGAATTTTTCATTGAATTAAAGTTGAATTTTCATTGAATCGAAGTTGAATTCCATTGAATTGAAGTTGAATTTTCGTTGAAATTGAATTTTCATTGAATTGACGTTGAATTTTCATTGAATTGACGTTGAATGTGTTTATTGAATATTGCTACAGTTGGCTTGCCATAGTGCATCAGACCTTTATTTTTGTTAAACTCTTTCCCGACAGGTCCCTATTAAGTAAATCACTCATGATTTACGACTTTGCAGGGTCATATCGTCAGTTGGGTGCATGCTATGTAGATGAAAATACCACCATTCGATTCAGTGAAACAATATCTCCTAATACCTGTCGATAGTTTTAGTCAAATATAATTTTAGTGAAATTGTATAACAATTTATGACCTTTCGACAGGTCAAGCGGTGTCATATTTCATTATATTAATCAATTGTCTCGAACAATGTAAACTATCAATACCTTTTGCCGCACATAACTTCGGCCCCTTTTGAGATATCGTTTTCGCTATAGTCTTATTCGAAACAGAATCAAAAACACTATTGAAAGTGTTATTTTCAATCTTGTAGCCTTAGTTTTTCGTCTTTTATTTCGGTATTTCAATCTGTTGCGAAACTAATGAAATCAGCGGGATATTTTAAACCGGAAATACATTTTAGATCTGCCAAAACATCGCGTGTTTACATCCTAGCGTTCGGAAAACATCGGAAATCGATTCTAAAGGTCAAATTACATCTGAAGCGTGCTTTTCACGTGCACTGGGCTACGGGAGACCCCTTATTGGCCAATTTTACATGCAGCACGCGCGTGCGAGTAAAAACCCGATGAAACCCGATATTTTTAAAAAAACAAAATAAACATTTCTACTCGCCGTATTCAAACGAAACTTTCTACATAAAAGCGCTTGAATACAAGGAATATTTCACTAACATTAACTTGCGGCGAATACTGAAGAGTTTAGAAAATATTCAACATTTTCTCCATATGAAAATACAGAATGTTTGGCCAAGCGGTGAGTAAATATATGATTGTTTCGGTTTGTGTATTTGTTTTGACGGCATTAGACCCCCCGATGAAAAGCTTATTTTGTTAAGATTTCAATGGTGTTCTTTGTTTTTAAGGGGGGTGAATACGCACTGAAATATTTACGTTATAAAACAGTTGAATCAAAATATTGCTTGCCGTGAAAAATGTCACATGTCGAGAAAGAGTTAAATTAATCTATGTGACTGCCAACTCAACTCTCATCCTCAGAAAAAGTTTTGAAAATAAACTAATGTAGTGAACAAGTGAAACTTTTGATAACGTTTTCAACTTCCTTTCTCAGGAGAAATCAAACTCAACAGCAGAGGCGGTTCGCAGAAACTCTGCCGTCAAAATACCTCGAATACGAAAGCAAATACAGCATCATGGGCACGTGATTGTTTGTGAGTCATGCCGGAAGTTTGGGAAGAATATCATGGCATGGCCTCTATGGCATGACTCAGTGTGACTCAGAGGGCATGAGTTAGTCGCCAACTCAACATACTTCGTACTGAAAAGAAGCACCGTTTGTCAGATTATTTGAATTGGATGCTGTTTTGTGTGTTCCGATAGTGGTTGTGTTAATGGTTCACCATCATACAGTAAACATGCAGGTAATTATAAGATGTGTACAGATGCGCTATTCTACACGCGTAAAAACGCTGTTCATGGTTCACGATATCAACGATATCGACAGGCTTGAGCCGAACGCTCAAGGTTGTGCTGAACCCTAAGATCGAAACAAGTTGTCAACAATGTTGTTACAACATTGTCACGACGAGGTTGACTAATGTGCGAGCCTTCGAGCCGGAGCCTTTTATTTGCGAGCCGGAGCCTTTCATTTGCGAGCCGCAAACCTCTCATTTGCGAGCCTTTATTTATACCTTTACAAGCCCGTCTAATCTCTATATTTGAGATTAGAATTATTTTCATTTTATATTCAGAGCACATCCTATCAAGTGGTATCATTATTTAGTAAAAATGAATGCGTTTTAAATTAATCATGTCTCGCAACATGCATTTGACTTGAGGTTTCTGGAACTAAACTAATTTCAGAAATAACAAATTGTTTTTTCTCAGAAATTTACGAACCTGCCATCATATTTAAGACTATCGTGTTTCACCCTGGCTCTATAGCAAAACAATCTCGCGGATTTCCATGCTATAGTATATATATATGCTATATTTCCAGCGAAGTTAATATGGCTATCCGGAAGAAACGTTTAGAAACCTAGTTTATATAAATGCACGTTTCATGGTGGTATCAGCGCCCAAATTTGTAGATTTGTTGAAATTTAGCAGTAAAAGCTTTATAAGTTATAAATTAAATAGTATTAAGGGGCCGATTACATGGAGCATTTTCAACCCCGGGGTTGAACTCAGCCCTGTTTACCGGGTTGAAATTTCAGCCCTGTCTGTAATACAAAACTCTATCAAAATCAAACGTGCGATTACATGACAAAAGTTTCAACCCAGGGCTGAGTTCAACCCCCAGGGTTGAAATTTCAACCCTGCTTCAGCTAGCAGGGTTGAAATTTCAACCCCGGGGTTGAACTCAGCCCTGGGTTGAAAATTTTGTCATGTAATCGTTTCAACCCATGGCTGAAATTATCATGACTTATTCGAGCATATGTGGTAGTGACTGTTTATTACAAGAAAACAAAATACAGGCTTTTTTTACTTCCACGAATCGATGCCGAGAACGTATAGTATAACGTTTCAACCCCGGGGTTGAAATCGTCCATGTAATCGCAAAAAATTTCAACCAGGTCAACAGGGCTGAGTTCAACCCCGGGGTTGAAAATTCTCCATGTAATCGGCCCCTAAGAAATATTCATAATTAAAGAAATGTACATTATTTATACGTAAACATATCAATCAAGAGAAATATAGTATATTTCACTTGAGCACAGCCAGTGACTATACATGCATGATGATATCATTTTTATTCTCACTGGAAAGAAAATCTAGCTCAGTGGAACTGTTTTCAATTCCATTATAATATCATAACTTATTATAAGATTAAGAGTGAGCCGGAGAAGTGTACAACCTGCACACTCCGCATGTAGGCACGTAGGTTCAACAGTATTTTACAAATACCTATACAAATAAAGAACAAACAATTATGCAGACCTGTATCAGCGGCTTTCCCGGGGGGTCGACTCCCGGGCCACCCGGGGGATTTGTCAAAACAGTCTTAACAAAAGGACACTAATGCCCGTGGGCTTGGGCAAAATTTTGTCACAAATACCCCTACCTCCGGGGCAAAATTTGGAAAACAATAATTTCAAATATAACAAATAGAAGGCTAATTATTCATTTATAAACAAGACGCCTGCTCAGGCGTTCACACTGACCTGAAAATGACGACATACGTGCTATGGTGTAATAGACAAGAATACAAATCGTGACCACAAATGGAAAGCGTGGCATGATCCTCAGCCCTCAGGAGATGTTTTCGTAATGCCCAATGAAACTCACAAATTACTCACAAATACAAACGTCATCCTTATTAAATACACATGGTCTCTGAGCATGCGATGCGCTATTAAACGCAGACAACATTGTTTACATTCTGTGAGTCTGTATACATATAAAATTCAAAAAACTCAGCGATCCAGATATTGCATTTCCAGAGACGTTGCACGAAAAAAATCCAACCAAGTCAACTTCCAAGGAAGTGCAGAGTAGGATAAATCCAAAATCCACAGAAAAACGCGCTAAAATTCGTTGTCAAATGAATAATTTGTTTGAGACTTACGTAGTCACTAAGTCACTCATTGAATGGCCGCCATGTTGAAAACTGATCTGTATAGTAAACTGGAACACTGGAAGTCCATATCAAAGATTAGATACTGCAAAGATGTGCCACTCGACGTATTTCCCTAATGTTTGTGTGTCCGTAATTTTCACTTACTGCCAAAATGGCGGCGAGACTGATGGCGTTGGATTTTACTATTTAGAGACTGATGGCGTTGAATTTGACACTTACTGGCAAAATGGCGGCTATAAAAAAATCTCGGACATAATTTTCGCAGAGTGGCACATCTTTATAGTATCTAATCTTTGTCCATATGCAAATCCCGGGCGTTTGTCCCCGGGGTTAACTTGCAAAATACAAATGTAGGCTAAATCCCCGGTCACAGAATAAAGACATACAGAAGTGTATCTTCTTATTAAAAGTGCGTAAGGGATTTTTTCAGTCCGCCATGTTCTTAGCAAGTGCCCTAAAGAGAGGAAGTCACCCCCCTGAAAACATATTGAAAATTTAATATTCCAGGGGGGTGAATGCCTCTCTTTAGGGCACTTGCTAAGAACATGGCCGCCAGCTATTTCGGTAAAAAAGGCCTTACGGTTTTGTAATGGAAGTTACACTTCTGTATGTCTTTATTCTGTGCCCCGGTCTCCGGGACCTGATTTTAAAACAAATTCCGTGCCATGCCCGGGGGTTGCCTGTGAGTTGCCCGGGGGTCGACCCCCCGGGAAAGCCGCTGATACCTGCATTAAATTAAGTGATGCACTACAATGACCAATGTGCATGCCATTTAAATTTCCTTGATTCCCGAACTAAACAAGTAAACTTTTTACTTTGTTTTAAAGATTATCATTGTTTTTTTTTAAGTCAATCATGCGACATCGTATTCATGTGACTTGTTGTAACCAACATGCACTTAAACCACGCTATTAGGCCGAGGGAATTAAAGTCATAGAATACCGTCCTTCGCCCGCATGTCCAAAATGCTGCCAAAAAAAATCGTTATTTCAAAATATTTCGTTATTTCAACAATGGACCATTTGCATTATAGACTAAATTTTGATCTAGACAAAAATTTCATCACAGCTTGAAAGAGCATCACAAAATTAGTAATATTCCAAAGTTTCGTTGCGAAATGTTGTAAAATGCAGATAATATAGCCTTGCGAAGTTTGCCGTTTTTCAGTCATTTTGTATTATGCACGGGAAATTGACAGCCAAATCGGGTGTTGGGGCATCAATTTCCCATTTGTAATACAAAATGACTGAAAATTGCAAATTTTGCAAGGCTATATTATCCGCATTTTACAACATTTCGCAACGAAACTTTGGAATATTACTAATTTTGTGATGCTCTTTCAACCTGTGATGAAATTTTTGTCTAGACTTGTCTAGATCAAAATTTAGTCTATATAATGCAAATGGTCCATTATCTACAGTTTAAACTACAATTTATCGCAGAAGTCATGTATTACAGGTAAACTACGTGAAGCGTTCCTCTTTTGACTTCGTAACTCATTGGAATTTTCCTCATTAGCTTTGCAAATTTGAAAAACTCTTTGCAAATCCCTTGAGGGAATTTGCAATGTTCCTATCGGCTGTTGCAATATTTCAAACCTCATTTTAAATTTTCCTAACTTCCTGTTTTAATTTCCTAACTTCCTGTTCTGTTCTGAGCATTGTTATTGGTCGATTATTTTTGTTAGCCAATTGCAACGCCCAGAACAGAACAGGAAGTTAGGAACTTGTAACAGGAAGTTAAGAACTTCTAACAGGAACTGAGGAAAATTTTTTTGGCTTTTAGCAATATTGCAAATTCCCCCAAGGGATTTGCAAGGGAGTTTTTTAAATTGCAAAAGTAATGAGGAAAATTGCAATCAATTTAGAAACTCAAAAGAGGAACGCTTCACGTAGTTTACCTGTAAGGGCAAAGTCTACTTGTACAGCAAAGCTTTCGCTTCACAGGCAGAAAGGGATTCGCTGCCTAGTTTTAAAGTTTGCTGGCATATTACTGAAATAACCGGCTGTCAGAGGCGAAATAGGCGGTGGTAAACCGCCGGTAACCGCCTCTTATTGAAAACACTGCGAGTTGGATTTCGAGTTAAAACTTCGAGTTGGATCACGGGCAATAGGACAGGTGTAGTGTTGTTAATGCACTAGTCAATTGAAACCCCGGCCCCCCGACCCCCGGGACAGGGCGGGGAATTAACGGAGGAATGGCCGTGGATTAACGCGGTTTTAATGCACCATTTCTCCCGGGGTACAGGGTAAATAACAAGTCAATTTATTAGCCGGGACAATAGCCGGGACTTTAAAGCACGGCTGATGTGAAAGTCAGTGGACTGGAACGAGTTTATCCTCGTGGCAACATGGCGGAATCTTCGAAATCAGAGAATTGTTTCCTCAATTGAGTTTTTCTTAAAAAAAGGGGAATATACTTTCACTTTTTATATATTCCTGATGATGACTGCAAGATACTCAAAACGTAGATTATTCAGTTTCTTTTGATGCGGATCAAAGTTTAAGATCAAGAATTGCCTTCATATGTTGTGAACATTTTATACTTCAACGATTTCACATTTCCCAAGTCATGAAAATTTGCAAAGTGCGGGGCCATAGGGGCGGTAACTTTAAAAGTCAATATACCCCCGGTAACGGGGAAATTACCAAACTTTAACATTGTCAAAATGTTAATTTCCCCGCCCTATCCCGGGGGTCGGGGGGCCGGGGTTTCAATTGACTAGTGCATAAATAGAAAGTTAGAAATGGTATTGTACTTACTCATGTATTATAATTATGTTTAAAAGATCAGAATATTCATAACTTCTTATGTTTCATAAATAGTTCTTTAATATTCGAGACAAATTCCACATTTATCGTAGCCTGCGAACAGGCTGTCAAGCTGAATTGAGAGCCTGTTCGCAGGCTACATTTATCGGGAAAATAACATTGTATTTCACCCAATTTTGACAAAAATAGGTTACAGGCGCGTTCATTGTTCCAACCTTTTTTGCTGCGAGCGAGCCTGAAGCGAATTTACACATATGGGGGAATTTTATCTTAAACCATTGTTTACCGCAGCTGCATGTAGGCCATAGAAACAAATAATAGATATAGAATCATATGTATAGAATGCGTACTTGATCACGAATCATGTCTCCACTTTTTCTCATGCGTGCCCTTATAAATCCGCCATGTTTGAATTTGACTAGGATTGCAAACTACAAAGTAAAACAAAGCTAAAACTACGTTTTCATCGTCAAAACGTTTGTCTTGTTGTCTAATTTGTAGTTTGGGGGATAGATTTTGAGTTCTTTGAAGGCACAAACTGTCAAAGCAAATGTGCAGATACAAAAACGGTGAAAATCGTGCAGCCTTGTAAACAAAGTAGTTTCGCGTAAATATAATTCACTCATAAAACATTTTTGCACGCTCTGAACGTCACTACTGTCACTGTTTTGCTAATATCTTATAAGATTACAAAATGATAGTTCGTTCTGGGTTTCGTTTTTCTTCAATGTAAACGAAGTTTTTTTATGTTTTTGAAACAAAAATATTTAGTTGTCAGTAAACTGTAAATTGCCTAAATAATCGTCGAAAACTATGGTTTCAAAAGCTTTGCCTCAAGCTCAAGCAACGTAGAAAATTATGAAAAGTAATTGTATAAGTTTATTAATTAAAAAGATTATTGAACTTCATTTATATTATAAAAGAGTTGAAATATTTATAGAACATACCTATTGAGTTTGAGTTTGTCCATAGGCTGCCCAAAAGTGCGTATACGAGTCATAACTAGAAAATACATGCATGCAGAAGCCAGAAACCCTCGCCTTGCTGACAAAACCATTGTATCAAAGATTAGATACTATAAAGATGTGTCACTCTGCGAAAATTATGTCCGAGATTTTTTTATAGCCGCCATTTTGCCAGTAAGTGTCAAATTCGTCAAAATTCGTCATATAGCGCGAGCATCGCGATGGCAACCTATTGTATTCAGTCTCGCCCACTGAGCTATACTATATTACTGGAGGACCTGCTCGGGATCAAAAAGTGTCGCCAAAAACATGGCGGATCTTACGCCATTTCCATGACAACACCACTGAGCTATAATATTACTGGAGGAGCTGCTCCTATCTTCCGCCAGTCAAAAAAGTGTCGCCAAAAACATGGCGGATTTTCACGCTTGCTTACGCCATCTGGTTCCTTTTGGCAATGGTATTTACCACTGACAAACCGCGATCCTCTGCTTTTGACGGTGTCTTTCACCCCCCTGGATTTTCGATAAAAAATGTTTTTGTTTCCAGCTAAAAATATTTTTCTGCTACTTTGCTTGTTTTACAAAGTCGAGGGAAAAATGCCTTCCTTGTGGATGCTGCAATACGCTATAAACGAAGGGTAGAGTATTTTCTTCAGGTAAGATTTTTTTAAAAACTTCAGATGGCTAAAAAATTTGTGTGTATGAAATTTTGCTTTTGTTTCAAGCTCTGGCTTTTGCGTTTTTACTCTCGGTTTTTATTGCCAGTTACAGTAGTTTTAAATACTCTGTGTCCTTCTGTATACTATTTATTAAAACCCTTACACTTACAATAAGCATTGTAAGCATTTAGTAAGCTCTGGATTTTAATATTTTTATATATAATATTAATAAATATGTTTCCTGTGACTATCTTAACTTTATATTATTAAACTGCTAGTCTTTGCCAGATTTTGTATTAAACAGCAGTTGCCTACTGTGCAATACTGCAGTTAGTCATGTATATGTGGGGCGTAGGAGGTGTGCACAACCAATTTGTATATGGCACTTTTGACAGCAGCTTGAGTTGTAATGGCCATGGGGCAACTTTTTGCTGCAATAAATAACTATTTTGTGCATATACCATCTCTGCAATACAAGCAAATGTTTTGTTGATACCCTCAACACAAAGACCAAGCATTCATGGGTAATTCCACAATACATTCACACCTCCCAAAAAGAGGAATACAAGTCAACACCTTTCTCCTTCAGTTGTTTAATATATGTCCTCAAACATTTTACTATGATAGAGGGGTTTGTCCTGCTTCCCTCTTGAGATGACAGCAATATCCTCTGTAGTGAGGGGTCTGATATTCTGTCTTAATAATCCTCACAATGGGTAATTCCAGAAAAGATCCATACTCCCCCCACAGAGGAAATTTCTGCCATCCAGAGGGGGAAGGAAGAAAAAATTGTTTCTGATAATAGTAAATGTATTAGGACATTCAAAGCGGTAAGGGGTAAACTTCCTATTTCCTCTGTGGGGGTGGTATGGATGTTTTCTGGAATGACCCAATGATAGACTAGCTAACTACAATATATTTAAACATTACTCACTTTTCTTATTTAGGTTGAAACTTTAATGTGGACAAGAATGAAACACAAGGTCTTTGGATGTTCAAATAGCTGGAGTAGTGGTGTACTGGCCAGGACCAGTAGTACCCCCTAGTAAGAGTACCCCTAGAAGTTTCAAGATACTGAACAGCAGAGCAAATGAGATATAGCCAATGGAACAACAAAGTTATTAGAACAGTTTAGACTTTAAAATTATTTATTGTAATTAATTATTATTCTTTGAAAAAGTTAAATTAAATTACTTCAGCTGTGTTGTAAATGTGGGATAATTTTGCAAAGAAAAAAGCATGTGAAATGACAAAGAGAAATGCACAAAAAATACTGAATTTTAAGCCAAGGGCAAGGGTGCCTGAAGTACAGTATGGCTTAACTCAGGGTGTCCCTTGTGTGTGGGGCAGGGGGTTGTGGACCCCCATTTTCTGCTAAGATTGTTGATAAAATCAGAAAAAGAAATTCTGATCAGTAAAATATGGGAGAGGTCATTGGTAAAATTGTTATATATTTTTCCTCAAATATTGTGATTCATCACAATGACCTAGTAGGCCTGTAGAGGCCTGTAGAGAATATTGAAAATTGATTTTTTTAATTTCCTTACTTGAAATTGAAAGGGGGGGGGGTGTTAAGTGGGGCAATGAGTGGGCACTGGGCAATGCCCTAATATCTTTGATAAAAATGAGGTGTCAAGCCCCTCATTTGGCTCATTGAAATTTTATCAAAAAGCTACCAGAGAAGACAGTAACTATAATGCCATCTGTTTTCCACATTAGTTGAAATGTGTGCTTCCCACAAATGACATCATGCACATTGTATTCCCCACAAAAGCACCATGTATAAAGTTGGTAAATAACACAAAATACTGATACATGTATGGTTTCATACTGCTTACAGGAAATTAAAAATTTCTAAAACATCAAGATACAAAGAGCTTATACTATACTCTATAGCATGTGAAATTGTAACCATTTATATAACAATATCAGCCGTATTTAATAAAAATATAAAATGAAACTATATTATAAAGTCGACGTATTTATATCTACAACCAAAACTTTATTAAATACTCGTGGCTAAAATAAAGCATTATCCATCGTATTTAAATATAATCATATCCCACCAATAAGACCAATTTTTCACGAAATTTTTACAGTATTTCAGGTTCTCGAGAATGTGAACTCACTGAACTGTGAAATATAATTTATTTACCCGTCCGAGGCTGTCAGCTCGTCTCAATTGGCTTCAAATATCGTCTTTGCTGATATTTCTCTAGGTTTATTGTCTTTAGCGAACAAGGATAACTTGTACAAACTGCACATCTTTGAAAAAAATAGTCGACGTCCAAAAAATTATGTCAAAAATCCAAAACTACGACTGCAAAAACAATAAAATATTTTTGCAAAAATCAGGGGGAGTGAAAATTGTAGCGGGCTCAAAATTGAGCCTTGTTCAGTGGTAATTGTATGAGCAAAAGGAACCAGATGGCGTCATTCTGGCGTCAGCAAAGGCCAAAATCCGCCATGTTTTTGGCGACACTTTTTGATGCCGAGCACGTCCTCCAGTTATAGTATAGCTCAGTGATCACGCCATCCTGGCTAGTACAACCGGCACTTTGTACCTGCCAAATCCTGATAAAAACTTCCGGCTGTACTAGCCAGGATGGCGTGGCCTGACGTGAGCGAGTTAAAATTTTCGTGGACGTCAAACAATAAGGGAAACGACTAGAGTTACGCCACAGAATAAGGTACACAGAAGGTCGACTCGAGTAACGCTGCCACGCCATGATTCATCATCAAAATGCTGACGCCATGGTCCTAGCCAGTGCGGGTTTGAGAGGCATTCCCCCCCTGGACATACGCCATTTTGAATGATATCAGGGGGGTGAATGCCTCTCAGACGCGCACTGGCTAGGACCATGGCGTCAGCATTTGATGACGAATCACGAGTTACGCCAAAATCATAGGAAAATCATAGGAAAAACGAAGAAGTCGGCCTTCTGTGTACCTTATTCTGTGCTATTACCGTGTTTCGTATTTCCTATTACCGTGTTTCCTATTTCCTATTACCGTGTTTCCTATTACCTATTACCGTGTTTCCTATTTCCTACTAGAAAATACATGCATGCAGAAACCCTCGCCTTGCAGACAAAACCTTTTTATTTTCCGAACGTGAAGTATTTTAAGTAGTTGTCATGGTAACACGATAAGTTTTTAAGAATATTTTTACAAATGAAAAATCCCCTATAAATATCACTTTTAATTACAAAATTATCAATTTCCTAAACATATATATGTTAGGTATGTTATTATACGTAATATAAGCTTGAATTTAAGGTAAAATTCAACCACAAACGCTTCGCAAAACGTTTTAAAATGTTATTTTACTATAGACCTAAACTGCCTTTATCGATAAACTTTGAGTTCGTAATAAAATGATTCCAAATTCTCCCATGCAAATAACTTTGCTTAGTATATAAATAAAAAGTGTAATCAATAAAGAAACACTGAAATAATACGCTGTCTTGTTTCATATTTTATATACGCAACGATCGGCTTTTAAAGTAATTACAGCCGAGATTACAGTATATTAAAAGCAAACGATGCATCAATATTTAAAACAAACTTACCTTCGTTAACGTCGGCACCTTTACTTCCTTCTTTTAGCAATCGTCTTGCCTTTAATTCATCAAAAATCCTTTGCAATTTACAAAATCTTGCAAAAATGAAATATATTTGCAAGAAATCATCAAATCAATTTCGCTGTCGTCAATCGTCATGCAGCCGTTATAATTGCCAATTTTAAATTGGACCAATCAGTGTTGGCTATTCATTACAGTCCGCTATATTATGAGATCAGTGAGGATGACCACCACTGAGATGACCACCCACCGAAACACGCACAGTGACCCACGCCCGCGATATTTGATGAACTTTAGACTTCCCTAATGCTTTCGTTTCCCCGGGTGTAAATAGCCGGGGGGAATTAGTACCCTCGCACGGCGCTTCGCGCCGCCGGCTCGGGGATTACCGTGTTTCCTATTTCCTATTACCGTGTTTCCTATTACCTATTACCGTGTTTCCTATTTCCTATTACCTATTACCGTGTTTGCTATTGCTGTGTTCGCTCGCGGGTTATTTCCTATTACCTATTACCGTGTTTGCTATTGCTGTGTTTCCTATTTCCGGTATAAATTTACTATAAATATTACAGTATATCAATACTCTATATATCAAAGTCAGGTCTCTTTTAGTCGAAGCAAGGAAAGATTACGATAAATTTGTGCTTTTGGACGAGATTAATGTCTGTATTTCCCTACAACACAGTCTTAATATTGTTACTAAAAATCTAAAACCTTAGTTTAAATTATAAATAAGAACGCCAAATTTTCAATTTTTATTTGTAAATAGTAGGATTTTAATCAGTTTTAACTAAGGTTTTCGATTTTTTTAGTCACAATATTCACTACTGTGTTGAAACAGAAATATAGATATTAATCTTTCCTTGCTTTGACTTAACGGTCAGTATAATCTGCAGACTGCAGACCAAGTACAAAATGCAGAATAGGTATAAATTGCAGACTGAATTAAATTACAGACTTGGACCTTGGTATAAAATACAGACTGAGTGAAAAAAAACGTACAAAACTACACGTTATAATACACCCGTTTTCAAAATTATGCGACTTACCAAAATATAATCTAAGACTCGAATGTCAGTTTTATGTCACGAGAGTTGTGGGAACTGCTAAATATAGCAAACATAAGCAACATTAAGACATTTTAAATCGTACTTAATAGACTTAATACCTAAAGAGTAAAGAAGAATATTAAACTAAAATGAGCTAGATACACAAACTAAAAGAAACCACAAACCATCACAAAAATAAGTTTGTGTAGTGAATGACTTTTAAGTTTGAGAAAAAACAAATTGTGTATTAAACCCGCTTAAGCCTGACTATAGCAGTAATATTATGATTTTGTTGTGCTTAAATTTTGCAATAATTTTCACTAAAATATCTTGAAAATCATTCTAAATCTTTTTATATAAAGTATCAAAGCTTATACATTAACATGCATCTACAATGAACCGCAAAACTCGAAGTTGTAAATAATTTGAACTTCATGACAGTATGACATATTAAAATATATGTTTTTTCAGTCAGTCTGTATTTTATACCAAGTCTGTAATTTCAGTCTGCAATTTATACCTATTCTGCATTTTGTACTTGGTCTGCAGTCTGCAGATTATACTGACCGTTAGTCAAAGCAAGGAAAGATTAATATCTATATTTCTCTTTCAACACAGTGGTGAATATTGTGACTAAAAAAATCGAAAACCTTAGTTAAAACTGATTAAAATCCTACTATTTACAAATAAAAATTGAAAATTGGCGTTCTTATTTATAATTTAAAGGTGATCTACAGTCCGTATGTAAATAAAGCCTTTGTTTACATTTTTTTGTCCAAAATATTGAGCTTTATTCGACAACTATTTATATTTTCAAGCTTGTAGAGTATAATAAATGATCAAGAAACAACAATCAGGCTTTTCAAGAACTCAAAACATAGTCAAACTGTTTGTATCATAAAAAGTGGGCTCAATGGCTCATTTGTGCACATGCGCAGATCGGACTGTAGATCACCTTTAAACTAAGGTTTTAGATTTTTAGTAACAATATTAAGACTGTGTTGAAGGGAAATACAGACATTAATCTCGTCCAAAAGCACAAATTTATCGTAATCTTTCCTTGCTTCGACTAAAAGAGACCTGACTTTGATATATAGAGTATTGATATACTATAATATTTATAGTAAATTTATACCGGAAATAGGAAACACAGCAATAGCAAACACGGTAATAGGAAATAACCCGCGAGCGAACACAGCAATAGCAAACACGGTAATAGGTAATAGGAAATAGGAAACACGGTAATAGGAAATAGGAAACACGGTAATAGGTAATAGGAAATAGGAAACACGGTAATAGGTAATAGGTAATAGGAAACACGGTAATAAGAAACACGGTAATAGGAAACTCGGTAATAGGTAATAGGAAATAGGGAACACAGCAATAGCAAACACGGTAATAGGTAATAGGAAATAGCGCGCGAGCGAACACAGCAATAGCAAACACGGTAATAGGTAATAGGAAATAGCGCGCGAGCGAACACAGCAATAGCAAACACGGTAATAGGTAATAGGTAATAGGAAATAGCGCGCGAGCGAACACAGCAATAGCAAACACGGTAATAGGTAATAGGAAATAGCCCGCCAGCGAACCAAATAGTCGCCAGCGAACCCACTTTTTCAACACGGAAATAGGAAATAGCAATTACACTTCTGGGCTTCCGTAGA